TGCAGGGCTGAGGTGTGCCCCTTTGTCCAGCATTGGGTCTAGGGGCCAATTAATTAAGAAACACTGAACCTTAATTATTTGGATAAATCAGATTCCCCAAACAGTACTAATCAATGATTCAATTAATTAAGACATTGCACGTTGTCTTAAAAAAATCTCTAATTGGTTTTTAAACTAGGATTCTAGCTTCAAAATGTCTATAACCCCTCTAAAAACCTAAGCATAAATTGTTTTATGTGTAAATTACTTTTGTGGGAGTAAGGGAACATACCTTCTTAACAAATTTCAAAGGGGTCTGTGATTAAGTAAAAGTGTAAGAGCTTCCTTAATTGACATGTGACATTTCCATACTTGGGATGTGAAAATACTTTCTAACTATATCTGGCTTTTAAAATATGCAGTGATTGTTGACCAAGTTTCTTAACTTTCTCATTTAATTGTACAAATACTTCTTAAAGCTTTCATTACAGAGATACTAATTTACAGAGTCTGACACATAATTCTCAAAAGTTTATGATAGGATAATTATTATAATCATTATTTCAACTTGGTATGTGTCAGACTATTTCTGCTAAATGGTCTAAAAGTTGTATAGCTATAGCTTTTGATGATGAGATTCTTGTCAACAATTTTCCTTTAATTTTAAAAATTAAAAACTTGTATATTTGCAAATATCCAATCTCGCCAAAATGTACATATTAAATATGTGTATTTCTTTGTATATCAATTATAGCTCAATAAAACTGTATTTTTTTAAAAAGAAACCCAGATAGAGAAAACAAAGTTATGATTGGGAATAAATCTGATAATTAAATATAGGGCTTTAATGCTATAAATTATACAATCAGATCCATGAGCTCTGTATTAAAATACATCCAACAATTTGGGTGCTGAAAAGTATTGAAAATATTTCAAAAATAAAATGCAAAAACAGGGTTCCTTAAATGATGGATGCCAATGCTTAACAGGTGGAATCCCAGCCACACTCTTTGGACTGGTGGCTAAATACTAAAGCTGAACTTCTCGTGAGTTTGTTCTTATACTGTTACGTTTCCAGAATCGGTCTGGAGTGGAGAGAGTCTATAACTTTCAGATCCCTGGCACGTGCTATGATTGGCCCCAAATATTCAAAGTTTAAGTGAAATCAGCTTTTCTTCTTGGATCTGGAAAGAGGAAACAGAGGAAATTTATTTCACCATTCTCCTCTCTCTGGAATTGGGTTTTTCATACTTGGATGCATATCAGAAAAATTTTGCTGCTCAGTCCTCTTCCAGACCAATTAAATCACAATTTTGGAGGCAGGTCCCAGGCACAGGTATTTTATAAAATGGCCTACATGACTCCAATGTACAGCAAAAGTTGAGAACCTCAACTCCAGCAAAACAGAAATAATTATTTTAGGATCAAATTAATATGAGGCTCTTTCTTTGTTTCAGAAAGTTTTAAAGGCGGCTGAAATATCATTGTTTGCTGGTATCACCACAATTTGGATCATTTCTGTCTATCATAGCAGAATTATTCAAACTAAAAGAGGCTGCATTTCACTGAAACCTGGAACAGAGAAAGGCATTCATGGGAAAACTGGGACATTGGAATGAAGTTTACTACAGTTTAGTATTGATAATATAATAATATAATATAGTAATATTAACATAGCTTGTAAAATATCAACACATTTGGGTGAAGGGTATGTGGAACTCTCTATACTATCTTTGCAATTTTTCTGTAAGTCTAATTATTTCAAAATATAAAGATTAAATATTAAATATAAAAAAGAGAAGGTGGAGTTAGTACTGATGCTACAACATTGTGGATTAACTAACAATATTAAATATCTGTGGACAAAGTCTTGCACTATGTTTTATTCATAAGCACAACTTATGGGGCAAGAAACGCTTTGAGACACTTCCAATTTCCTGACAGAATTTTTCTCTAAATGTCTTCTCTCCAGTTTCAACCAGATCCTATAAAATGTCATCAACAGCTGGAGAATACTGAAGACTCATATATTCTACTCTAAGGAATTATAATGCTGGTGGTAATATCTTACACTTCTATAGCATTTTACAGCTTACAACACTTTCTGATTGTTAGTCTTGCTTGATTTGCATGAGAAAATAGGCAATACATAGGATATACCATGGGATGGACTAAAGAATGAAACTTCATCTGCATTTGATTATAAAATACACAGTGAGCCCCTGCAGAAGCCACACACACACTCACTCACACACACACACACACACACACACACACACACACACACACACAGTGCATGTCCCAGTACATGTCCCAGTACAATACACAATTTGAAAATATGGTTATTGAAAGATCTTAAGTTAGTGTCCAAACATATAACATATCCCTTCACCCTAGATTAAGTCACACCCACAGGCACAGCTTTCATTCTTTCCTTTCTCACCAGGAAAAGAAAAAAAGTTCAGATTATCAGAGGCCACTAGCCAACATCCCTTGGCCCCACATGTTGTCATGCCATGACTATGCCCTGAGTCACAGCCATTCCATTTATTTCTGTCTCCTGTCCCTAATTTCCTGGGGACCCTGACACTTGCGTTTCCCCCATGAGTCAGCTCCACCTGCCAGTTCTGCTCTGCTGGCCTTTGGCCATTCCTACAATTGCTGAAGAAACCCTCCCATCCAGACTTGAATGAATGGGGTGGTGGTGACCACACTTTCTCCAGATTGTGCCAGGAGATGGCTCATATCCTCTTCCTCACTGCCCCCCCACAGAGCCCTCCATCAGCCAATTCTACCCCGGGCTGGGGGCGCCTTCCTCCAGCCTGGCCTCACACACATGCACACACATGCTTTCCTGGCCAACCCAGGGGACCAGGGCAGCCCAGACCATTTCTGATGCCACCTGATGGGGTGAGTGGTCTGTGCTGCACGCCCCACTCTCCTTTCTGTGACATGTTCCTGCTCTCACCCATCTGGGAGAAGAGTGGCTTTCTACCTGCAGCCACTCCTGCAGGTGCTGTGGGGCAGTGATGTGACACACTCAGCAGGCCTAGTTATCCCTCCTCACCACAGCACCACCTGCTCACTCTTAGATTCTTATTCAAAAGGGAGGTCTCACTAGGACTCATGTAGAGGTCATGGCATCTTTGAGGAGAGTAAGGGTACTTGGGAAATGTGAATGATGGAATATAATTAATCGAAACTTCTGGGTTCCTTTGAATTATTGACAAACGTTATGAATATCAATTTTGGTGGTTTATAGGAGAAAGGGTAGAAATATCTGCACTTTTGAAAGTAGCTGTTCTCAATGTATATTTGTTTTAAAGCATTTTTTCCTACCACTCTGCTGGATCCTTCCCACCACATCCCTTCTTTCACAGGCGAGCTTTACCCACAGGCATGGCGATCCCTGTAGATCAGAGCCACCACTCCTGCCTTCCTCTGGCCGTTCCTGACAGGCTCAGGGCCAGGGCTGCCCCAGTTCCTCCCAGCTTTCTTGAGGAAGGTGCAACTGCTCCCGCTGTCTGTGCCCTGATCACCCCACCATCTGAATTGCTGCTAATTCAGAAAGCAATTGAATCTTCCAGTTTGCCCCGTGCCAATTTATACCACTTTTTACTTCCACGGTCTGGATTTGTGGGTGCCAGGCTCAGTGTATCCAGGTGCAGATATTCCTGATCCCCTCCCCTACTCACCACTGTGGCTGCCTCCTACCCTTGCTTCTGAGCCTTGATAGCTCCCCATCTGATCAATGGCTCATGGCCTTGCCTACACTGACCTGTCCAGCCACCAACCCAACCCTGACTTATTAGTATTTTAGAGTATCATCTCTGTAATTCTAAAGATTTGTAAGAGTGTGTGCATGTGTATGTGTGTGTGTGTACATTCAGAGGAAAGAAAAGCATCACACATTTGTTTAGAACACATTCTTATCTAGCAGTCTGTGCAGGTTTTTACCATATTCTTTTGCTAACAGTATATTAAGAAGGAAATTGAGTCTAGCCTGTGTGGCTCAATAGTTGAGTGTCCAACCATGAACAAGGAGATCAAGGTTTAATTCCCGGTCAAGGCACATGCCTGGATTATAGACTCAATCCCCATGCAGGGCACGCAGGAAGCAGCTGATGGATGTTTCTCTTTCATCATTAACGTTCTATCTCTCCTTCTCCCTTTCTCTTCATGAAATAAAAACACATTTTTTTTAAAAAGAAGAAAATTGATATAATAGAATCAGGGGCATAGAAAGGGAGTGGACTGACAATTCTCAGGGGTACAGGGGAGTGGGGGGTACGGGAAGAGATTGAACAAAAAACGTACACCTATGGATAAGGACAGTGGGAAGGAGAAGGGCAGAAGGCGGGATAGGAACCTGGAGGAGGGGAGCTATGGGGGGAAAAAGAGGAACAATTGTAATAATCTGAATAATAAAATTTAAATTAAAAAAAGAAGAAAATTGAAATTTTAGTAAAGATTTTCTTACTTATGTTGTAAAACACCTCTTTATAGAGCCAAACTGAAAGGTCTTTAAAGCAAATGTATTTTTCATCAGATGAGTGATTGAATTTCTGATTTTTATTTTCTCTATTTCAGCTTAGACAGTGAAACTGCACAGATACTTTTCATTTTGAATTTATCATAAAATTCACTTCCTGTTATTGTTATTCCAACACTGGAGAGAAAAGTTGACTTTCCAGAAGTTTTCATTTAATTTTAATAGAAAACAAACACATACAAATCTACTTAAAACAACAAACAAAAAAGCATTTCAGTTCTGAACACAATTTGCAATTTGATTATAGGAACTATTAGTTTACCTAATAATTTAGCAATATGAGCATCACCCTAATTATATCCTTTGGCCATTCCAGGAATGATCACAAGGCCTTTGAAATTCAAATGATGAACTTGGACTGACCCCTTACCACAGGACCCAAGTGGCCTGCAGCTGAGCTCATTCTGACAGTTGGGACAGTGTGATTTCCAGTTTCCCATCAAGTTCTGCGGGCTCATGGGGCACTTACGTCTCATCTGTGAAGGCTATTCCAAAGTATTCCTTTTCCTTCAGATTGAAATGAGATGCCACGAGGTCAAGCAGCTCCTTGGCCAAAAGCTTGGGCTGGAGGAAAAACAAAATGGAAAAAGGGTAAGTGATGAGAGATACATTTCCTAAAACAGGCAATTTTCGATTTACATAATTTTTTTAAAATGCAAGGTCTCAAAGCCCCAATACATCGATGCAAATGATTCTTATTAAACCCAAAGCAGTGGACAATGAAGGCACCACTGAGTACACAGCTAAATACAGATGGAGACCTTCTGCCTTGTTCCTAGTTTTTTCTACTACAAGCAGCACTCACTTATGGACAGGCTGTCAACCCTGGGGTTCTCTGTCCCCACAAAGAATGAGAGAATGTTTCAAGCTGATCAGCAAGATGCCTTACTTAAAAACATATCTATCTATCTATCTATCTATCTATCTATCTATATAATTTATATATATACACATATACACACACACAAATTATATGTTTAACGTATACCATTGATATTTTTGTAATATATGTTTTAACACATATCCTACATAATAAAAGAGTAATTTGCAAATTAACCATCACTCCACTACACCCACCAGGCACACCCACCAGCCAATCAGAGCAAGTATGCAAATTATCCCCAAACAAGATGGCTGCCACCACAGAGAGTAGGAGGAAGGCTTGGGTTTCTTCAGCAATGGAGGAAGCCAAGCTTTCCACACACCCTGGAGAGCCCAGGCCTCCACTCAAGGATATAAATTTCAATTATAGAAGATAAATCCCAAGAAAAATGGTGTCACAACAGAGCTGGAGAGAGCAGGCTAGGGTTGCCCCAGCAACAGAGGAAGCCAAGCTTTCCACCTGCCCTGGACAGCCTATGCTCCACTCCAGGCTACAAAGTTTCAATTATAGAAGACAAATATATCCCAGATATCAGGGCCTCTGCTTGGGTCACCAGGAGGCATGGCTGGCCTGCAAACCACCACAGGCCCCTCTCCCAGGCTGCCCCATGTCCCAAGGGAACCCCCACCCTGATCCAGGACACCCTTCAGGGAAAACCGGCTGGCCACCACCCATGCACCAGGTCTCTATCTTATCTAATAAAAGAGTAATATGCAGATTGACCATCACTCCAGCACACAAGATCAAGATAGCTGTCCCCATGTAGTCAAAGATCCTGCCCCCATGTGGGCACAAGATGGCCACCACAAGATGGCCAGCAGGGGAGGGCAATTGGGAGGGACCAGGCCTGCAAGGGAGGGCAGTTGGGGGTGACCAGGCCAGCAGAGGGGGGAAGTTGGGGGCAATCAGGCTGGCAGGGGAGCAGTTAGGCATTAATCAGGCTGGCAGGGCAGTGGTTAGGAGTTGATCAGGCTGGCAGGCAGAAGTGGTTAGGGGCAATCAGGAAAGCAGGCAAGTAAGCAATTGGGAGCCAGCAGTCTTGGATCGTGAGAGGGATGTTAGACTGCCCGAAATGGGCAGTGGGACATCGCTTGAGGGCTCCCAGATTGGAGAGGGTGCAGGCACATTTTTATAATAGCTGAGACATGGAACCAACCTCTAAGTGTCCATCAATTGATGAATGGATAAAGAAGTAATGATGAATATATACTGAATGGAATACTATTCAGCTATATAAAAGAAGGAAATCATGCCATTTGCAACAGCATGGGTGGACCTGAGGTTATTATGCTAAGTGAGATAAGTCAGACAGAGATAAATGCCATTGTAAACTCACTTATATGTAGAACCTTAAAAAAAAAAAAAAAACTCTCATAGATACCTCATAGATACAGAGAACAGATTGATGATTGCTGAGGAGGTAGAAGGCTGAAATAGGTGAAGGTATTAAAAAAAAAAAAGAAGTTACATGACAGTTAGATTTCTTATTTATTTATTTATTTGGCACTGCTCTGGGCTATGCTGTGTCCCCAAATAATCCATATCTTGAAGTCTAATCCCAATGTGAGATCTTTGGAGACAGGGCCATTGAAAGATGATTAGGCTTAGAGGAGGGCAGCCCCACGATAGGATTAGCGTCCTTGTAAGTAGAGACACCAGAGGGCTTGCTTGCGCTATCTCTCTCCACTGTGAGAGGGTGCAGAGAGGAGGCTGCCTTCTGCACATCAGGAAGGGAGCCCTTCCTAGAACCCAACCAGGGTGGATCCTGATCTCCCACTCCCAGCCTCCAGAACTGTGAGAAAATACATTTCTGTTGTTTAAGCAACCCAGTATTTTTTTTACAGCAGCCCCAGCAGATGAAGACAGGTGCACTCCCTTTGGTTCAACATTTGAGCGCCTAACATGGGCAATGCACTAGCCAGCACTGCAGAAGATCTAAAACGAGCAGCATGTAGTTTTCCAGTGAGTACTTAGATTTTCCCAGGGGCACAAAGTAAGGGCAGGGGGTTCCTTTGAAAAAACCAAAGCAGATGGTTCCCCTTTGCTGCCTCGCTCTGGGCTCACAGGGCACCTGCCTCTAGGCCTCAGCAACCTCCAGTTTACCCATGAAACAGCAGGAAAGGACAGCAGTGAGTTTGAATTGAGGACAGAGCTTTCTCTCCCCAGAAGATGTAAATCCACAGGAGAACCCATCCAACAAATCAAAGCCATCTAACATCCTACACTTCCGTCCACACTAAGATTTGAAAAGCAAAAAAGCAATCTGTGGCCAATAGGGAATGCAAAACTTTATGTAAGACCCTCCTTCATAAATAGGGGCAACCTACCACAAGGAGTGCAGTGCAGCAACATGGCCGTCTCAGAATGCCTCTGATAAATTACAAAATGGATCCAAGATGAGGGGGCTCCTGAGGCTTCTAGCTGTGTTTGCTATGTGCTGCTTCTGGCACCACCTCCACCCCCAGCAGGTACCTGGCTGCACAGATACAAAGCATTTAATGGACAGGTTGTGACTGATATAAGGCAGCAGGGCAGATTTTCAAATTGCATAATCTACCTGTCCACATGATTGCCGCCCCTTTCAAGATAGGCTTTGTGTTTCTATGATGCCTGCTATTCCTTAAAACATGTTTTATAATCTTTTGGGTTTGCCTTTGAAACCCATGTCCCATTTATAAAAGCATCTTCACTATTAATATATCTTCTTGCTCTCAGAATGAAATTTTTTTTTCCAGTTGGCTAATGTCACTTGAAGTCAAGTGTACTGGCTGGGGACAGAGAGAGGGGAGGAGGTGAGCATGCTGAGTCACACTGGCTTTATAAAATGAGGTGTGACTCTAAAGTAATTATTGTGGGTTTTGAGGGTTATGGTGAGGTTTCCAGCCCCGACTTAGAAATGATAGAAGTAAGATTGCCTTCTCTTTGAGGGGTAAGCTTTAAAGCCATCTCAATAGAACTGGTCAGAGAAACATAAATTTACCCAGGAAGAGAAAGAATTACGGTCATGCACCACTTACCAATCAGGATACATCCTGAGAAATGTGTCCTTAGGTGATGTCATTGTTGTGCAACTATTGAGTGGGGCAATACACAAACCTGATGGTACAGCCTATTGCACACACAGGCTGCATGGCATGGCCTAACGCTTCTAGGCTACAAGCCTGTGCAGCATGTTACTGCACAAAGAACCTGAGATTCAATCAAGCACGAGACAGAAGGATGGCAATCAGGAGACAAGGTAAGCACGAGATGTCAGAGGCTGCTGCCAGCACAACATGGCATACTGTGTTACAGAAAACTGTTTTATGTATAGGCAGAAAAAGTACACTACCATAATGAAAGCATAATAAATGCATAAACCAGTATTACAGTTACTTATTTTCATTATCAAGTATTATGTAGTGTGGATCATACTTTTATCTAACTGGAAGAGCAGTAGGTTTCTTACATCAGCATCACCTCAAACATGTGGATAATGTGTTGAGACTATTGCAAGGACTATGATATCACTAGGATATAGGAATTGTTCTGCTCCATTAATCTTATGGGTCGTGAATGTGGTCCATCACTGACTGAAACTTGATGTGGAGCAGGAGTGTACTCTCAGGGCTGGGACAGATTATAACAGGAGTAAATACAAAGGTCATTCCATGGAGAGGGCAGAGTGAATGGAAGGAGTGTGGGGGGAGAGGTTGGAGAAGCAGTTTGGAAAAGGGAGAGGAGCTATGGTTCTTTTATGTGGTAGCAATGGGGCTACTTTAGCTGATCATATGCGTCACTCAAATTACCTATTTAGCTCTCCTTCAAATAGCATCCTTCCAAAGACCTTGCTGAGGTACTGCTGTCTTAGACATGGTGCTGACCATCCTACATGCTTGTGGGACCATCCTATTATATATAATAAAACCCACATATTCAAATCAATTGAACAGCAGAATGACCATCACTGTGATGCACATTGTCAACCAGGGGGCAGATGCTCAATGCAGGAGCTGCCCATTGGTGGTCAGTGTGCTCCCACAAAGGGAACAGTGCTCATCCAGAAGGTGGTGAGCACAGGGGCAGTGACAGGAGCCTCTCCCACTTTGCAGCAATATCAAAGACCCCTCAGGGGATGTCTGACTGTGAGGAGGGGGCCTAAGCCGGCAGTCGGACATCCCCCAAGGGGTCCTGGACTATGAGAGGGCGTGGGCTGGGCTGAGGGGAACCCTCCCTCTCCCCACAGTGCATGAATATCATTCACAAGGCCTCTAGTCTGAAATAAGTGGTTGTCATTCCTTTGCCAATGAAGACTCTCACCTAGGAGCTATCAGGGGCTGGGTCACAGCAAAGACAGGATTCCCAATGAAATCAAGCTGGTGTCAGAGGGCACCCTTAATCCTCTGCCATGCTGCCTCTGCTTCCTGGGTGAGTGGTCAAGGATATGGTCTGGTCTTAGGGGTTGGGGGTCATGTCTGGACGAGGCTTACAACATTCAGTGAACCCAATACACTGGTATCCAGACATCAGTACTGACAGTTTAGAGATTGGTATTGATTTATATGTAACCAGTACTTTGAACTTGGTTAATGCGAGTCTTCCCTGAGCCTACAGAGCTAAAAGTCTGACTCAGCATCCTGAGGAAGTCACCAGAGTAACGCAGCCACCTAGGAGCCTCTTGGAGATGGACCTTTGGCCTTTC